GTTCTCATTTGAAAAGTGGAGACAATAATATTCCTACCCACAGGGTTCATGTAAACATTAAGTGAGGATGCACACGTAAAAAGCTTAGTATAGTGCTAGGAACGGAATAGGCACTCGGTAGTTATTAGTTACTATTAGTAGTAGAGGAATCTGGGTGGTGCAAACAGTTAACACACTTGGCTGCTAGCTGACAGGTTGGCAATTGGAGTCTACTCAGAGGCACTTCAGAAGAAAGATCTGGCAATCTACTTCTGAAAACTTAGCCATTAAAAACCCTGTGGAGCACAGTTCTACTCTGACACACATAAGGTCACCATGAATCAGAGTCAACTCGACAGCAGCGAGAAAATTAGTAGCAGGCATAATGCAGCCTTAGGTTGCATTTGCCTTGCTATTTTGCTGGCAATGTTTATACTGCACTTACAGGCGACTAACATCCATCAGGACTTTCCCCTAGGAGCACATCAGTTTATCTCAGTGATTCTCAGTGGGGATGATTTGGGCACACCAGGGGACATTCATCAACATTTGGAGACATTTTTAGTTTTCAGGACTTGGGGAAGGGGCTGCTACTGGCATCTTAGTGGGCAGCATCCTAGAGGAAAAAGCCATGTTTGCTCCCAGCCAGCTTGTCTGCCATTTGCTTTTCGAACTTCCACACGGGTTCTTTATGCTTTTTGCTAAATGAGTTCATTTTGAGTCCATCTTTCCTACCTGTCTGGACCTTTTTGAATCCTAATCCTTACACCCAAATGTTTTACCTCATCACCTGCAAATTTTAAACTGTCTTCCGCATCTTCAGCCATGTCATTAGTAAGATGGTCCTAAGCTTTAGGGCGTAAGTCAGAGACCAGTGGAGTATCATCTGAACTTTTATCCGAATTAACACTGTATCATCAGGAAATACTCTTTGGGGATGGTTGCTCAACTAGTTGTGACTACATCTAATTCTTTAAATGAGGAAGTTGGATTAGGTGTTTTAAAGTTTCCTTTACACACTAAAATCAAGCTCAGTTTTCACTTTTGCATCTTTCCCACAAGTTTGTCAAACGTCTGACTGAAAGCAGAATGTCCATAACGGTCCCTTGATCCCCCTTCTAGTAGTAATGTTTCATAAAAGGGAAATGAGGATCATCCTGACTTGTTCTGAATAAAACTGCTGGCTCCCAAGGGTCTCTGTATTCTTTCATAAGTACTAACAACCAGTCTGTTTGGTAATCTGTTCTATAACTTCTGCTCATACTCGGTCCAGGTTAGGCATGGATTAGTGTCTACCTTCGAGCAAACAGTTAAGCGTTCAACTTCTAACCAAAAGGTTGACAATTCAAACCCACCCAGAGGTGCCTCGGAATACAGACTGGTGGTCTGCTTCTGAAAGGTCACAGCCTTGTAAACTCTATGGAGCGGTTCTTCTCTGATACACATGGGGTCGCCATGAGTCAGAATGGACTCAGCGGCAACTGGTTTGGTGTTTCTGGTTTTGGTTTTGTAGTTCCTGAAAGCCACTCCCTAGATCCTGTTGGAAACTAGCTCCATCTCGCATGTTCTGAGGGGCCTGACACTTTCATACCAGGACTGACTGAGCCTTCAGGGAAAGCCTCCGCACCCTGTACACACATTCCCAATGGCTCTTCCATCGGGAAGACACGTAGCCAAGCACACACGAGTCCTTACATCACCTGACCGGGCAGCCTTTTCCTGGCTGCTGCTCACCGCTGAAAGCATAGTTCTGAAGGACAGCCAGCTTGACTTTCCCTTGGCCGGGTCTAATTCTTGGTTTGGTAAGGAAAGAGCAGGAGGAAGAAGGAAGAAAGAAGATGTCTTCCTCTCTGTGCCCATAGTTGCAGCGCAAGGAGAAGATGCAGTCTCCCTTGGAGATTCCGGCATTCTGTTTTGTTCCACTTAATGGAATTATGCATTTGGCTCACTGAGGTGCTTTTCATGTCAGGGAGACAGTGACTTCAGAGAAGACAAGGGAGCGTCTTCAAGGGAGCCGGAAGAGAGAGCCAAGAGGATCAGGAAGAGGTTCAACAAAGCAGGAAGTGAAGCAGAATCAA